TTTATGTTGCTATAATTTTTCACACTCGAATGCAATCGAGAATTGAAAATAACAATGTTTTATTGATATTTATCATTTACATGGGATTGTAAGCTATATAACACTTACTTATTCAAGTATAAAATATATCCTTTTTCTACTTATCACACACTTACGACTTCTCTCTTCATTGTGAGCCGCTTTCCGACAGCGTATTCATATTCAGATTCTGATTCGCTCATTTTTCAATATATATTTTACTAAAATATAATGTGAACTAAAATATAAATAATAATATATATATATATATATATATATATATAAATATAATAATAAATATTATAAATACTAGTATTGTTATTATTTATGTTTTAAAAGTATAAATAAATATTTTTACTGATAATAATGTTTATTCTGAAAAATGGGAATTCGAAAAGAAAGATAAAAAAGTCGATGTGCGTGTAATAGTACAATATTCGACTATTTTCTGCAATGTTATCAAAATCCAAAATTGCAATAAAAATTTTGATTATTTTTGTATTTTTGTAATTTTCTTGCCAAGACAACGTTCTAAATTGTGTTTTTTTACATTAAAAAAAATTGATTTTTTGGGCCGGCCTTTTTAAAAAAAAACTGTGCATTAAGGGGTTAAAGAAAGCGTTGTATTTTCTTACGGAAATATAACTGGCTTCTCTTGGGAATATTTATTAAGGAATTCCTTCTCAACGCGTTACTTTTTCTGTGTAATTATTAGACTGCGGGTTTTATGTATTTAGGATACAAATAACTAGGCGAGGCACCAAAGCGTAAATACATTAGAAAAATCTAAGAACATTATTGCCTCTTCCCCAATTCATTGTAATAATGAACAAAATAAATACATTTCTATTTTATTTGTATTTCTTACAATTGATATATGGTGGTACCATGTAATAAAATAGTCAAATAACGAACCCGAGCCAAAATATAATTAAGGAGACAATCTTTGTAATAATAGGTTCTATTTCAACTTCAATACACTACAATGGAACGTTGATTATCGACACGAATGTTTAGATAATAGAATACTTACTTAGAACGTAAAATTTCATCTTTGTTGATTTTTTACAACGTTAAATTTCGTATGACTAAATTGTGGATTTCCATGGAAAATATTATACAACGATATAATAAATATTACTGCGGTTTATGCATTTACTGGAACGTACAGGAGCAACATAGACATTTCTTTCTCCTTTAAATTATTTCGCTCAGTTGAAAATAATGTTACAGAATTTTTAAATTCTTTAAATGCAGTTACTGTTTTGTATTTGATCCACTGATTGTTATAATACATATTATATATAAATATATATTTCATAAAATCCGCATCTAGTTATATAGCCAGTAGTGTTAATTCTTGAGAAATTTAACCGATCCCCACAACAATAGACATGGTCGCCATTTTATATCTCTTTTATAGGAAATATGTGCTAACAGACTTATCTGATATTATTGTTCTGATTATTATTACAGCTCCGCTCTGGGTTCAGCGACGGATCTAGTCTATCAGACACTAGCGCAATTGTTACAGCTCTGTGATGAGGTGTTACTGCAGGGCGACCAGTCACCTGCGTTAGACACCGAGCACGTGACACACGTCATAAGAGTAGTTGAGGAAGCTGTGAAAAATTTGGTTGCCTTGGCAAACGAGAAGATCGCCAACAGACAAAAACCCGCAGCTGTCGCTGCTAACAACAGGTATCGATAGATCCATCGTCGTGTCACTGACTCGAGGAGGACTCCACCTGTTCGACTTTGATCTTGACAAACGTTTACACGATGATAGCATACAGCTTCCTAGTGATTAGAATGTGGACTTCGTGTATTTATGTTATTAATTACCAGGATTAGTAGCAAATCGTAAAAACATCAGACAATTTTAAAAGTGAATTATTGACAAAAAAAAACACATTTCTATTTATCTCAAGTTTAATACAATTTGCTTAGAAAATGTTTACTTTGCATGAAGATTCAGAGTCTATTAATGATAAATATGAAATGTTAACCGCATGTAATTGGCATTTTTGTAAATGTTAGCTTACTGCAAAAGTAATTGTTGAATTTTTTTTTGGTCTGTGTTTTACATTACAATTTTTCTCATAAATCTTATTACTTCTGTTGCTTGTTATATATCATTGTATAAGTTATACGTTACTTACTATGACAATGACTTTCATTCAGATTATTAAAGTTCAGTTTGACCAACCGATTTGATATAAACAATAAAATTACATATCTGTTTATGTATTATCAATTGTATAAGCTCTTTTAATGAATTCAGAAGTCTGTAACTGCATTTGTTTATTTTTGAAGAAATATGAAGTAACTATGAATAATATTGAATTATGAAGCGGCACGTTATCATCATGTAAAAGCTAATTAAATTTGAGATCAGGCACGTGGAGTTCTTCCCTTGTTAGAGTAAAATAGACTACTGGAAATGTTTATTGTACGATATGAATATTTAACTGAATATTTAACTCTCGTGGCATATTTAATGTTAATATTGAAATATTGAATATTAATTGATTAAAAATGCTATGATTTGAGAATCGTGTCACTACATCAATTTAAAATGAATTATGTAGTATCAGAACTATTTAACTTCTAAGAATTGAGTGACCAAATGTCCGTAA